AAATTTAGGTATGAATTTATTTGATCTATAACATTTTAAACTCTCTAAAGATGTTTATGTAAACCTATGTCCCTCCCATTTCTGTATCTTCTTCTATTCCGCGAATGTATAAGACGTTATTACATCTGCGAAACAAATTAGATATTATTTAGATATTTGGCGAATAAAAAATCAAATTGTCAAATAAAAAAAGTCAATGAATAAAGTCAATGATAATACGAACCTAATTAATACTTCTCCAAGAGCACCTGTTGAATTTCCATCTACAAATTCTTCCGTATTGGCGAGCTATGATGATAATTATATATAGTATAGTAATGTTATAGATATATTTTCTAAATCTACAATAAACAATTGTGATTTTTCATATTTCACAAATTAAAATTCAAAATATTAACTATGATACCTGTAAATTCATGTACGAGTCCACAGAAACTAAATATCCTTTATATTCCATGCCCCATTTTAAGCGGACGATTACTGGTTTTCCGGTCAATTCTTGAAGGAATGGTTTTGGATTTACCGGTTGAAACTATGTAAATATCCAATATTTGAAATTAAACTTATAATAAAGTCGATAAATTTATATAATCACTTTCAAAAAAGAATGAAAAAAAACTTTTTACCGCCATATTTTTCAAAGGGGAAAGGAAATCTGAAATTCCTACCATATTGTAAGTTTGTGATCATTATATCGGCCAATCATTACTAAATTGTCGATCGTGATCGACAAAAAATTCTTGCGTTAAATACTTTTTAAACATTTGCAATATACTGTATCAGATATTTAGTTAACCGTCAGAAATGAACACGCGCGCAAAAACCGCTGGCCTTATAAAAGAATTTTTCTCTTCCTCTAATTATGCCGTCGTAGGTGCTTCAACAGATCCCTCAAAATACGGCAATAAGGTATTAAAATGGTTTGTATTTTAATATACTTTAACGTTACAACTTTCCACAATGTATTTTGACCATGTTCGTTTATTTAGGTATATTAATAATAAATATTCAGTAACACCCGTAAATCCGGTAATTATTAATTACTATTATCGATATGCAGTTATTTATTATTTCGTTATTACTAAATGATTACTTACTATGTTATAAGAAGGAAACAGAAATTGAGGGACTAAGTTGTGTTCCAAACTTATCTTCGTTACCAAACTTTGAACCTAATAATACGTCTGTTTCGATAATAACACAGCCAAATGTATCAAAGGATGTATTGAAAGAGGCAACAAAAGTATTTATTATTTATTATTTATTCTATTTTTCATAACGCAATTAATTTTCTAATCGAAAAAATAATATTAGTTGGGGATTACTCGTATATGGCTTCAACCAGGGGCTGAAAACATTGAATGTCAAGAATATGCAAGTAAAGTTGGATTGCAAATAATTAGTGGTGGTCCTTGTGTTTTGGTTAATGGGGTTAAACTTTAGCAAGTTCATCTAAATGCTATTTTTTTTATAGTTACTTATCTTTGCTATATAATCATAAATAATCTTTTTAAAATTTGTAAATATGTAGTATTTAATATACAATAAAAGTTTTGTGCTATGTCATAATCATTGTATCGATATCATATCGATATCATATCGATATCATTGTCATTGTACAAAGATCAGGCGCAGAAAAGTCGTATATAAATACAATGATCTCTGTAACACGCAGCTTCGGGTCTGATTTGAGTTAGACTCGATTTTTGTTTTAGTTTGGTTCCAATTCTTTAAAAAATCTAGCCCGAAATGTTTATAATTATAGTTTTGCTAACTTGTATTACTATATATTGTTGCCATCACGCTAAATACGTTCTAAATTCGATTCGAAAGAAATTGAAAGAAAGGAATGGAAAATGTGCAAATTGCAACCGATATAACACTTCTAAAGCTTGGTGTCAAACATGTGACCCTCAGAAGGCAACTCAAGGATGGACAAGTGGAAATAAGGATATAGATAATTGCATTAAAGAATTTCAACTTAAAACTACAGAATATGAAAATGTAATCGAATGGATTCCTTTTAATAGATTAGATAATATTCAAAACATTGGAGATAGGTTTTTAGCAACCTGGTTAGATGGTATACGATATGTAAAAACAGATAAAGGTGATATATATACACAGTCACGTATACAGCCCTGTGTAATTACGCTTAAAATATTGACTAGTTCACAAAATTTATTAGATATTTTAACAGAGGTAAGATTATATTATTTGTGCAGTTTAGTTGCTAACGTTTTAAATAAATTCTACTTATATACTGTATTTATATATTTATTTATAAGTTTAAAATTATGGTACAATTAAACAGTATAACAAACGTCTATGGATTAACTCAAAACACCGTAACAAACGAATATATGGTAGCATTTGATGAATTTGGTTATGATAGGGATGAAACTAAGGGAAAATGTGCAAATTGCAACCGATATAACACAACTTTAGCTTGGTGTCAAACATGTGACCCTCGGAATATAGTACAAGGATGGACGAGTGGAAATAAAGATGTCGATAATTGTATTAAAGAATTTCAACTTAAAGCTACGAATTATGAAGATGTAATCGAATGGATTCCTTTCAATAAATTAGTTGGCATTCAAAATATTGGCAATAGATTATTAGCAATCTGGTTAGATGGAATACGATATTTAAATGAAAATTTTAAATCTAGATATGAAAGTGAATATACACAGTCACGTATAATATCTAAAGTGGATCTTAAAACATTAACTAGTTCGCAAAATTTATCAGATGTGTTAAAAGAAGTAAGCTAAAACATTTAATATTATTATTGCATAAGATATATAATATATATAACCTTATTTTATTTTATGTTTAATAAGTTTACGGATTATGTACAGTTAATAAATCGTGAATTTAAAATATATGGACTAACCCAAAATACAATTACAAATGAGTATATATTAGTATTTGATGAATTTGGTTCTAAAAGATTTGACTCTAATGGAGAATGTAAAAGCTGCATCCGGTATAACACATCACCAGCTTGGTGTCAGACGTGTGACCCTCAGAAAACAATTCAAGGATGGACAAGTGGAAATAAAGATATTGATGATTGTATTAAAGAGTTTCAGCTTAAAGCTACAAAATACGAAGAAGTCATTGAATGGATTCCTTTTAATAGTTTAGATAATATTCAAAACATTGGTGATGGATTAGATTTACCCATACTACTGGTAGTACAATATACTACTGAGAGTTACTTTTTACTTCTGATTATTTATTAATTTTAAAATTTAATTACTTTATTAAATACATGTTTTAAATATCTTCAATCTGGGGCATTCTATATTTATTATTTGAAAGCTGTAGCTATTTTTTATAATTTTATAAAAATTTTTTATAACCTAAAAATTTTAGTTTAGACTAATTTTACATAGTATTTATTAGTTATCTTATAAAATATATTTAGTAATAAAAAAAAATTTTATTATATAAATTTTTTTAAGTTCTTAATAAAAGTTGTAAAGACAAATTAGTTAATTTAAATTATAAAATTTGGCTTAAATTGGATTAATATATAAAAAGTAATTTAAATTTAAAATTTTTGCTAATAAATACTATATAAATATTTTTTAAATTTTATATATAAAAACTAGATGTAATTTTTTTAAAATTTAAAGTAATATAATTTAAAATAAAACTATACTAATATTAAAAAAACTTCAAAATTAAAATTAAAATATAAAAATTTACAACTTTAATTAAAATTTTAAAAAAATTTAATCAATAAATTTTTTTTTAAATTTGTGTCAAAGTAAGATAACTTACTATATATAGTAATAATTTGCAATAAACTTGCAATAAATTCTAAATTATGCTTATAATACAAGTAATAATTATTACAATATAATTAATAATAATTTTTGAATTATTTAAAAAAAATAGTATTTTTTATATAATTAAACTTTTAATTTATAAAATTTATTAATAATTTTATTATTAAAATAATTTTAAAAAGTGTACTACCAGTAGTACATTAAAAATTTTTTAAAATAAAAATTTTTAAAAAATTTTTTCTCAATAATTTTATTATAAACTTTAAAATAAATTAGTTTTGGTTAAACTAGAAGATTTATCTGATTATTGTATATGAGTGTCACTAAAAGAAAACCCAAAAATTTAAATATAAGTCATATTTAAATTATCAGGTTTTCTTTTAGCAACACTCATATAGTTGCTCTTGTACAATTATTGCCATTTCACTATCAATGAAGATAATTTCATCTTTGGGTCTAATGCGACTTACACGCTACAAGTTTGATGAACAATCCAATAATCGTTAAGTTTTTTTATATATTCATCGTGCAATTTAATTATTTATTTTAATTTCACTATTAGTTTTAATAGTTAAGAGACCCGTTTTTATTAAATAAGGTTTATTGCAAAGTTTATATTGTCATTTATCACTGATTTTAGTAAGTTCATCCCAGAAAGGGGAGGGACATAGGTTTACATAAACATCTTTAGAGAGTTTAAAATGTTATAGATCAAATAAATTCATACCTAAATTT